CTATCTAGTTCCAAAGCGTCTGGAAGTCTTTCTTATGGTAGAATGATTTACATGTGGAAACTACATTTAAAAATATTAGAAAATTTTCTTAGACTTTTCAATCATTTGGACTTAACTTCCCGATTGTGTTTGAGCACTAAATTAGATTGTTGCTTCTTGCCTAACATAACATCTCTTCAGTGTTCAAGAATGGGCCAATTTATATGTTCTCACATTTGATCAGGTGGGTATGAGAGGTGATTATGGACTTCTACAGACAGGTGAAATCCCATATGTTTATGTTCATATGTGTATTGACAAAGTGTTTAAACAATTCGATAAAAAGTTGAAAATTATTTCAGACATATGCATTTCTTCTATACAGGGTCACACAGGCAGATTGATCAATGGTATAACTAATAAACATGGACCTCAATGCAAAATTGAATGTAGTGCCTCAACTCTCCACCAAATTTCTCCTGCAAGCTAGAAAAGTTGGTTTAACTAAGCAAAAAATGAGCTTCTTAAGCATTGGGATCAGAAGGACGAGGGAAATCTGTTTCTCCTTCAGTGGTGGGAGTGAATGTTCTATTGCCAGTGAACAGAGAAGGATGCCTTCTTGCTCATAGTTTCTGTAGCTGCCCCAAGGTCATTCATGGATACTCCCCATGGCTACAGAGCTAAGGAATAGGCTGATTAGAAACCCAGACTGGACTCCATCTTGCCACTTCAACCCTTACTGCTAGTCTGTTAGACTTAGTCCTGCATCTCTACCCCTGCTCTGAGCCATTAACCGTAGGAGCTGGACTTGGCAACTTAGGTGGACTGAATCTCTCTCTGAATTGACTATCTCCGGCCCTGGTAGATATAGGCGTGCTTTGTGTGTTACCTTAGAACTGTAACCACATAGAACCCAAAATGTCTTCCTGAAAAAATATGGTAGCAAACTTCTCTTTTGCTATTTCTCTGTTTGCTATTTCTCAAATAGCAAGATAAGACTGAGGCAGGATCCTGTCTTAGACGCCTGAAAAGTAACTGCTTCATGATTTATGAGCATTCCAGCTACAGGAAGAATCAATAGAGAGAAGTAGAAGACTTGGGGAGAAAATCCAATAAGTAACTTTAAGCCTATAGCACATTATTACTTTTCTGAAGTTCTATATTACCACTTTATATATAGTAGACGCTCAATATATATTTATTTGAATTGGATCAGGATATTTTTTCTTCTTTAGTAATCTCTACTCTAAGGAACATTTTGCCTTACTATATTGATCAAATAATTATAGTATTTGGTGCCTGCTGTTCAACTTAAATAATTACTTTTAAATAGCCTTCGATTTTTGTAGCAATGTGCTGTATTCCCCATCTTGCCCCTTAGGTGCTTGCTGCCCATTACTCATGAGACCACAAATGCACTGCCCACAGCAGTGGTTCTCAAATTTTAGGTTCATTTATAACCCCATTTTAAAATGCAGATTCCTGGGCTCCCCAACCACAGTGTTCTAAGGTCTGACAAGGGATCTTAGTGACCTCTATTTTAACAAGAACTCTGGGTGATCTAAGGACAGGTAATCCATGGCGCAGATTTTAGAAACTTATCCAGATTTGACCCTGCCCTAGACTCTGGGGCCAGCTTTAGTTAATTGCTAGGGCAGTGAAGATGGTCCTGCCCTGGGACACGATCTTGTTTCACTAGTCACTATTTTTGTCCTCTTTCTTGCTTCATGTCTCAAATCCAGCTGGTCTTGCCCTGGATCTTGGTAGCTAGGTCCATGATATTCCTGGGCTTCACTGGCTGCTAGATAAAGAATTGTCAATCCCATATTTAATGTTCCGCCTATCCACCAGGTCCTCTACCCATGGCCAGACTCCACGGTCCGCCTCTTTGGACTCCTCCGGTGCCTACTGCTTAGAAGTCCTCTTATCCCCTCCCTTGCTCATATGGGTTTGCTGGATGGCTCATCCCAGCACTAAAACCTCACTCCTCATGACAGACAGCCCTGAATGAGGATGTTAATTATTCTTATCCAGAGTTAGCCAAGAGGAATAGGATAATTATCAGCCTGGCTACCCTAAAAAAGATCATCTCCCTCTGTATCTGTGGTAGAATGAGAGGTCGCCTGCTCATTTACCCAAGTTTAACATAAGAGATTTTACAAGAGGAGCCATTAAAAGTAAGGAACAAGTTGAAACAACATTATTTTTGTTGCATACAGCCTGTTGCCAAGAATGGCCCAAAGCCAATGCAGATTAAAATAGAAGTGTTCTTAATTGGCCTTCAGGCTGATACATTGAGTTGGACCTAGAACACTCTTATCTCAAAAGAACCCTCAATAAACCCTCATTTACCATGCTGAAGTAATGGAGACCAATTATGTGGAGTCTGTCCATTCAAGCCCCTTCCAAAGGGACTCATGCAGCCAAAGAGAACAATCAGGTTGTCTCTCCCTCCCTGCCTGGTCTTTGAGGCTAGTATTGGAGAGACCTGAGCTTGAAACAGTGAGTTCAGTTAGCCACAGTCACCTTCAGTGAGCCAGTTAGATGTGATGGATTATGTCCCAAGAAGATAGAGAGAGCATGGCCCAACTGGGGATGTATTTAGACAGTACTTGCTACAAGACTACGGGCTGAAATTAAGGTTGCTGACAAAACTGATGCCTTCCCACATTGTTACTCTACCTGTTGAGAGCTGAAACATTGAAGACAAGAAGCTTCAGCCAAGAACAGAACAAACTCTAAGGATTTCTTTCTCTGTCTTGTTTTGTTCATTTATTCAACAAACATGCTTCTTAATATTTTCTATGTGCTAGGACTCAACAGCTCTGGCCTCTGCCCTCATGGGCTTACCATCTTGTAATAAAATTTAGGTCGTCAATTTATTTTGGACACAGATCTACCCAGGACTTTAATTCTCTCACCTGCCTGTATGAGATGAAAAGAACACTGTGGGTATTGCAGTGATGGGCAGGAGAGATAGTAAGAAGGACCTCAAGGAAGCCACACTGCTGTTCATATTCCAGTCACATTCCTTGGATAAACAAAGCTTGAAATTTATGGTAAAGGTGCTAGTCAATAGGAGGAAAGGATAAAGATGCACACAGATTAAACAGAAATGTTCCCATGGATACTATAAAGCAGACAAACTTGCCTTAGATAGTATAGATTTATGTTAGAGTACCTTTAATGTTCCTTCCTGTTTCTACCAGATAAGACACTGAAGATTAATTGAAATGCCCAGTGCTATATAATCTAATATTTTTGTTATCTTAAACCAGTGGTTCAGGCACCTGGAGAGCTTGCTAAAACACAGATTGCTCAGCCCTATCCCCAGAGTTTCTGGTTCAGTAGGTTTGGGATGGGGCCTGAGAATTTGCATGCCTAACAAATTCCCAGGGGTTGCTGATGCTGCTGGTTCCAGGACCACACTTTAAAAACAACCACGAGCTTAAGCAAGCATTTAGAGAAACTTTGAAAGTGTTGTTCCACAAAGGAGTATAGACAGCATCACTAGGTTTAAAATTTTTAAATACCTGTTGTTTTTCTCAGTACAAAATAATACATATGTGGGGCCAGCCCGGTGGCGCAAGCGGTTAAGGGTGCGCGCTCCACTGCGGCGGCCTGGGGTTCGCCGGTTTGGATCCTGGGCGCGCACTGACGCACCGCTTGTCAAGCCATGCTGTGGCGGCGTCCCATATAAAGTGGAGGAAGATGGGCACAGATGTTAGCCCAGGGCCAGTCTTCCTCAAAAAAAAAAAAAAAAAGAGGAGGATTGGCAGATGTTAGCTCAGGGCCGAGCTTCCTCAAAAATAAATAAATAAATAAATAATACATATGTATTACAAAAAAAAAGATTTTTAATAAAAAAGCAATAAATTCATAAAACAAGTTAAGTAAATTTAAAACCACCCACTCAAAGATAAGCATGGATAACCTTGCTGCATATTCTTATAGAATCTCTCTTATGTGTATATGTATGCTTATGTATGTACATACACGATATTCTCTCTCATATATATATGGAAATTGAATCATCTTATGCATGCTGTTTTGTTACCATTTCACTTAATAGTATTTTATAAACATCTTTCTGTGTCAGTACAGTTCTAGCACATGATTTGGTACGTCCTTTGAACAGAGGTACCATAATGTATTTAAATGTTCCCCTCTGCTGGGCACTTAGGTTGTTATACCTAAAACACTGTTTTAACACTTTTATAACTTAGCCTGTTAAAACAGGCTCAGTATAAATATTCTGGTTGGTCTTTATGTGCATCCTTAATTATGTTCTAAAGACACATTCCCAGAAGAAAAATTGCCAAGTCAAAAGTTATGTAGATTTTTTAAGGCTTTTAATACATATTGCCAGAATACCCTTCAAAGAAATATGAGATCAGTTGACACACCCGTCAGTGCTATGTGGGTATTTTCTCACCTTCACATCACACTGAGCACATGTTTTTATTTGCCAATTCAATAGGGAGAAAATAATATCTTGTTTATATTTGGAATTTTTTTCAGTTTCCAGTGGAGTTGATAGTAGCATCACAATCAGTGATTTCATACTTCTTTCATTTGTAGCTGTGCAAATCTGGAATCTGTGCAAATCTTAGAATCATACTATTAATTATTTACAAAGCAATTCTTTTGTTTGAGAGTTTACGTTTGTTATTTCATAGGGTCCAGCATGTCACTTTTCTTTGTCACAAACAAACAAAAAATCTCGGAGTAGAACAACTTTTGTTGCATTATGTAAACTTTGGGAAAATAAATTTGCTACAAAATTCTGTATTTTGAATTTGTCTGATATGATATGCAATCTCAATTCTCAGTTGGTGAATTTACTATAATTAAAATATAATTGGTCTAATTTTACTTATGAAATAATCCATGGGAAAAAAGTATCCACTGTGATTAAAAAAGAAAACTGATGGAACAATGTATCTTGTTATCTATTTATTAATATTTATTGAGTAGCCACATGATGTGAATACTAAACTGAACTTTCTTGGTGATACACTAAACTGAACTTTCTTGTTGATACACAGGGACTATTAGGTGAAAAATACGGGAACATCCGAATCCCCGGAGAAGTTGAAGCCTCAGAGTTTGAAATGATTTTGGATGCTGCCATAGAGGCGAAGCTAGAGACGAAGTTACTGGAAGAGTGGTACTGTCGCGATGAGAACTCAGTGCCAGCAGCGTATTACCTCAGACCCAAATCGGAAATGCTGAAAAGCAATAAAAATACAGTAAGTTACCTTTCTCTCCAAAGTATGTATCTGTTCATAATCTTCAACTGTTTATGTCATCCAGGGGTGGTTTTCTCCACAGAAGGCACGGAAGACAGAAAGTTATTCTGCCCTGGACCCTAAATTTCCTTTTAACAACAAAATCCAAAGCTAAGAGACCTTCCATTTTTTTGACTCACCTTTCCTTTTAGCATCTCAGACTTTCTTCCTGGGGTCACTTCCTTCTTCCTGAAGTATATCTTTTGGAAGGTCAACTAATGAAGGTCTACTAGTGATCAACTCTCTCTGTTTATCTGAAAATATTCTTATTTTTCCCATTTTGCTATAATGTGTCTATGTATTTATTCTGATTGGTATATGTCATGCTTCCTATATTTGTGAATTCATGTATTCTCTCTGTTCTGGAAAATTTTCAGCCCATCATGTGATCAAATGTCTCTCCTCTATTCCTATGTTCTTTCCTTTTTACTCTGTAATTAGATTTACATTGGACCATCTGAGTCTATCCTCCATGTCTCTTAATTCTCTTTCACATTATCAATTTCCTTATCTCTCCATACTGCTTTCCAGAAGATTACTTTAGATCTTTTTTCCAGTTCACCAATATTTTTCTTCAGCTGTGTCTTGTCTGTTCATACATTAAGTTTTCAAATTCAACAGTTATATTTTTAATATGTGAAAGGTTTTTTTTGTGGGGGGGTTCTTTTTAAAACCTGCCTAGCTATTTTTTATAATCTCTCATTTTTTTTTAATTTTTTTTTTTGGTGAGGAAGATTGGCCCTTGCTAACATCCATTGCCAATCTTCCTCTTTTTGCTGAGGAAGATTAGCCCTGAGCTAACATCTGTGCCCATCTTCTTCTACATTATATGTGCGACACCGCCACGGCATGGCTTGATAAGGGGAGTATAGGTCCGTGCCCAGGATCTGAACCTGCGAACCCTGGGCCGTCGAAGCAGAGTGTGTAAACTTAACCACTATGCCACCAGGCTGGCCCCAAATCTCTCATTTTTTAATTCAATATTTTTCCTTTAACATTTTATACATAGTTAATTTATATTCTTGTATCTTATGTAGAATCTTGAAGTGAGGTTGATTCTGCATGAGTATGATGGAAACATTATCGTTGTCTCCTCTCCAGTTTGGTTCCCAAATGTGTCTGTTATATGTCCCCTGAAACTGAATGAAGGAGGAAGAGAAAATAAGTGGGCCTATTCATTGCATAGAATTTTTAGAGAGATTGAAAAAAAGGCATAGATATCCATCTTGTCTTCCAAAGGAAAAAACCTTGATACATTCAGCACCCAGGCAGTTCCAAGAGGAGGAGAGCCCTGGGTTAGTGACGGTTCTTCATTTAAGGACATTGTATATTTGTCACTCTGATATTTAACATAAAGCATTTTCTTCATGCAATATGAAATCATGTCAGAATCCTTGATTTTTCTTCTTCCCCTTCATATGCATTATTCAAAGTACTTAGCTGCAAGAATATTGCTTCTATGGAGAGGAATGTTGGGGTAAACTCAAACCATTCCCCAGTTAAATATGCCAGGAGTAAATGTAGCTATTAAAAAACATGTTACCTCTAGAAAACCAGGATTACACAATGGTTTGGGAGCACTTGCTCATATGTTACGATTTAACTGGCTTTAGTTGTTCCTTCTTCATTTGATTCTGTGAAATTTAAGTTATTCTTTAAACCCAAAATGATATTTCTGCATAAATCGTTGTTAAATAAATGAATGTATGAATAAGATTATCATCAAGAGAATAAATGTTGCTTTCTTGATAGGCAATCTTTCTATCATAAAAACGAAGAAGAAACAACTAAAGGCAATTAAATTATAACATATGAGCACTTCCCTTTTAACTTTAACTCCTCTTTAGAGGATATTGAAGAGATGATTTTGTTATGACATTTGTGTCAAAACTCAAGAGGCAAATACGTGGTATAACAAGAAAGCCCAACACACAAATCCTGTCTGGATTCACACCCTTATGTAACTAACTTCACATAACTTTCAGGGTCATTGGGGGAATTAAATGAGATACTCTCTGTTAAGCACCTATCACAGTATTGGCATATGGTAGACCTTCAAATAATAATAGTTCTCTTGCTCTTAAATGTGGATTTTTCTTTGATGATTTTAAGACTAACTCACTTTTTTTTTTTAAAGATTCTCCCTGAGCTAACATCTGTTGCCAATCTTCCTCTTTTTCACCCCTCCCCAAAGCCCCAGTACATAGTTGTATACTCTAATTGTAGGTTCTTCTAGTTCTTCTATGTGAGCTACCACCACAGCATGGCCACTGACAGACGAGTGGTGTGGTTCTGTGCCCGGGAACCAAATCTGGGCTGCTGAAGCAGAGCACACCAAACTTTAACCACTAGGCCATGAGGGCTGGCTCCTGATAACTCACTTTTACATTTCCATAGATGCAGCCTTCTGCCAATGCTGAGAATGAGAAGACCTGGCAAGAGATATCCGATGAGATCAAGAAAGTATTTAAGGCTGCTGTAAAACTGTTACATGAAAAGGGGAAAATGAAACACAACCAAGCTAAGAGGTACCTGTTCTCAGGTAATTTTTACACATCCTCAGTAAATTAAGGAATAGATGAATAATAGATGCATTCGCTGCTTCCCTTTTATGGCTCTGCAAATATAATTTCATTTACTGCCTGGTGAAATCTAATTTTTCTAAATGTTTCCATCTCTTGGAGAGGCAAGTGTTCTTTTGTTTTAACTCATAGATAAGCCTTTACTTACCTTGGGGACTTCTCCAGAAAATGTGATTTTAAAAGAAGTCAGAGGAGGCTGGATATAATAGACCAGACTCTGCCAGTGTTTCTCAGTTGAGCTGTTTATTCATTCATTCATTCACTCCCTCATTTTAGCAAACATTTATCGAGTACCTACTATGTGCCAAGTACTAGGGATACAACAATGAATGAGAAGGCAAGGTCTCTGCTCTCTTGGAACTTATTTTTTAGTGGGGAAAATAAATGATAGGTAAGTAATCAAATAAATGAACAAGAACAAGATCATTTCAGAAAGATAATTGCTATGAATAAAACAAGACAGTACCAGGATAAGAGGGACTGATGAAGGATGTGGGGGTCCGGATTTAGATGGGGTGGGCAGTAAGGAGATGGCTTTTGAGCTGAATGACCGAAGCAATCAGAGCCGTATCTAAGGCAGAAAATTCCAGGCAGAGGGATTACCAGGTTCAAGATCCCTGAGGCAGGAATGTGCGTAGCAAGTTCCAGGAGCAGGAAGAAGGCAAAGGTAGCCAGGCCCGGGGGGGAGAGAGATGAAGTCAGAAGGTGGGCAAAGGCTAAAATAAGAAGCTTATGTTTTATTCTGGGTAAGATGGGAAGCCATCAAAGGTTATGAAGGAAGGGAGTGGCAGGATCTAAGCGAACCTTAAAATAAAAAGCTCCCCAGCTGCCAGGCAGAGGCTGGCTTCTCAGCATTTCTCAGCAGTGGAGAAGAGCTTGATTTTTAGAAGTTGCACAGGAAACCACAGATCTGAAGGAATATGTCAGTCAGAGCTTCCAGGAGACAAATACTACGAGTAAAAGTAATCAGATATATAGCATTTATTCTGAAAGTTGATAGTAAAGAATTATTGAGGAAAAAACAATAGTAGCTTCGTATTCAGACTGGTTTTGTGAATGGCGTGGCAAAGCATTTGTGAAAACCTAAAAGGCACTTGATACCATTCTCCCTGGATACGTGTATTTCCAGCTCAGAGAAATTATAAATAATTTTGACAAATTCATTCTCTGGAAGCTGTCAAAAATTAGGTACTATTTTAGGTCTCCCTGAAAATAATAAAACTGGCAGGAATAAGTAATATCTTTAGAATATACAGATTAACAAATAGACTTGTTGCTTTGGGATCTTTTAGGTCCATTTCGAGGCTTTGGTTCTTCATCTTTATCAAAGGCAAAACCACCCTGTTCCTAGACACATGCTGTGTTAGAAAAAAATGCCCAGAGCAAAAGCTTTCCTATTCTTTTTTTTTTTTTTTTTTTTTTGAGGAAGATCAGCCCTGAGCTAACATCCATGCCAATCCTCCTCTTTTTGCTGAGGAAGACCGGCTCTGAGCTAACATCTATTGCCAATCCTCCTCCTTTTTTTTTTTCCCCCAAAGCCCCAGTAGATAGTTGTATGTCATAGTTGCACATCCTTCTAGTTGCTTTATGTGGGATGCGGCCTCAGCATGGCCAGAGAAGTGGTGCGTTGGTGCGCGCCCGGGATCCGAACCCGGGCCACCAGTAGCAGAGCGTACGCACTTAACCGCTAAGCCACGGGGCCGGCCCAGCTTTCCTATTCTTGACGTAAGAGACACCAGTTGGGGGAAGGCATCCTCTCATTTGGAATCATACAGCTCAAGTATTCAAATATTTCATCACAAACACGTTCTCCAAGCTAAAGAACTCTGTCCACGTGCATAGCCATATGAGGACTTATAATTTCATACTAGTAGTATGAACTACTACAAGTAGACTGTTTTCTACTTGGGGTTACATCTTTTAAAGCTACGCATACTCATTGTAATTTTATTTATTTTACATTTCAAACTCATTTTAAGACCATGTCTGCACAATGGAAATTGCTGGAGAAGTGCCAACTCTTTGAAATGGATATAGTATATTACTTTAATATTTTCAAAAATCTTGAAAATAAGAATACTAGGTAGAATCTGGAAAGGTGTACTGTTTATACTTGAGAGTAATTTTTCACAACACTTCCAATTTCACCTTTATAAATACCAGAAGAAGATAAATAAATTAGACCCCAAAATGGGGCCCTACTGTGAATGTCACAACTGACTGGTCCTGGAAATAGTAGAGAGATTAATGTCTCATGAATGATAGTTGCCAGGGCGGGGAATCTCCTCCTAATGTTATCTTCATTGGGTGCCGTGACTGGTTAAACTTGAGGATTTTAAGGAAAATGCAAAGATGGAAAACAAATATGGTAATCTATCAAGGAGGGTGGAGTTTATAATATTTATAGACAAATAAATATCAGAAATTATTAATAAAAGTCCCCCCAAATCATGAGGATGCAGTTTGCTTCTAAAAATAGCTCTATAGAGGTCACTTAGTCTCAGATGACTCATTTATTCAGGAATATTTATTAAGTCTATACCATCAACCAGGCACTCTTATGTACAGCCTCTTTTGTCCCCATGAGCCAAGCTTAGATGGGCTCTACCAACTTGGTTTGTCTCTCTCTCTTTTTATGCTGCATTTATGATCAATGCTCCTGATTGACACACTCTTTCCATACGGGTGACAACAATGTCAGTTAGGTCACAGTTGACTTGTTTTCTGGGAGTCAGAGGTGACAGTGCACATCTCTGCTTATCATGTTATGTATAAATACTGCAGTTTGGCCACTTCCTTCTTCATGATACTCAGAACATAGCACCTGGCTAATCCAGTGTGCTCCCTAGCATTTTACATAGATGGCTGGAAAAGATAGGGGCCCAAGGCTGCTTTCTGCAGGAGCTCATAGTGCTGAGATTTCTTGCATCTTCCCTTGTCTACATTAGAAAAAGGTCTTCCCCTTCTGTAAAGGAAGAGTAGACATATGTTGGACAAGCTCCTTTAACTGGTCTACTTAACCAACTTGCCTGATTAAAACCCTTTGTAAAACATACTGATGGGCATGGCACAGGTCACTCAACATTGGTGGCTATAAACATATCTTTTTTACTTGAGTCACAAATTTTGATCCATTGCTTATCACTACTGAAAACATATTATCATAAGACTTCCACCAAAAGGCACCATTTTAAAATAAAATTCCCACCTTCCTTAGTAGTTAATGGAATACATGCATATTCTAGGTTTTGCTTGATGTTGGAGTTGTGGCTAGCACATTGAAATGTTTTCAGTTTGTGGCCAGCCCAGTTTGTGGCCAGCCCAGTTCTCTGTATTCAGAGCCTCACATCCTCCCCTTAGGCTTCCATCAGATCCCAGCCCAGCAGCCACCTCCTTAGGAGACCCTTCACTGACCTCTCCAAGTGGGTTAGACCCCCCGATTGTTTGCTATCATTGCATCATGGTATTCCCCTTCACAGGACTGAAAGCAATCACAATACATTTATTTGTGAGTCTCTATGATTCATGTCTGCCGTCCTCCACTGGACCATAGCTCTGTAATGGCTTTTTCTCTCAGCATTGTCTGTTTTCTCTCACCATTGTATCCTAAGCAACTAGCAGGATGCCTGGCATATAGCAGGCACTCAGTGAAGACCAAGTGGATGAAGGAAGGCAGGGGGGAGGGGAAGAAGAGCGGGAGGGAAGAAGGGAGGGAGGGAGGACAGCCCATTTTAAAAGACTGCTTGCCTTAAAATTCACTTCCATTCTTTTTTTTTTATTTTTCTTCCCTAAAATCATGTGCCAGTGACGTTTTTATTACTACTGATCCAGTCTGAAATGTTCTTATGGGGCCTCCAATGATTTATAATGTATATTTACTTGCATGTCAGCATGCATGTATTATAAGCCATAACGTGGTTTACCTTAGAAGATGTACAGTTACATACTAAGTCATTTTTCTGTACCTGCTCTGATGGATATAATGGAATTTAATAGTGACATGGATAATTCAGATTGATCAATAATCAGAAGATGATTATGTTTTAAGTATGCTTTTATAATTATATTTACACATATCGATCTGGGGTACAATGTACCTCAAACAAAATGGTGAAGCCACGTTGTAAAGGAGAGACTGACAAGGAAGCAGTAAACTCAGTATGCTCTTTGCCCTCTTCCTCATTCTTTCCTGACCCCAATTGGTCCCTGCTCTTCACTCTTAGAACCACTGAAGTTTGAGAGGGAAGCAAAGCAGGAACTTTGAATCAACTATAAACTTGGTATGCTTTCTTTTGTGTTACATTCAACTTCTTCCTCCAATTGGGGAGGAAATTAAATAATTTTACTTAAAACCCATTGTTCTGTGGCAGGCTGCTTAGGAAAAGACAAGCAGGAAATTAAGGAATTAAGAAATTAATACACACTATAAGCAAAAGCATCTACCACTAGTGACTGAGAGTTAAGTGCTGGGAGTATGGGCATGTTGCTTCTTTGTTCTGGACAATAAACTTGTCATATTTTCTTCCAGCTATAGAGGATGAATTTGACTTTGCTCTAGGAAAGCAGACTCCAGCATTCCTCAAGAAGTGTGTGTGCTACATTAGAAAAATTGCTAACATTGAGCGTTTTGTGAAAATCCCAGAGATGGGAAAATACATGGACATAACTGGAACAGAACCAAGGATTATTCGGGACCCAGAAGCCCAAGAGAAGCTGATAAAACTCAGGGATGAATTTATTCCTACTATTGTTGCATCATCTAATCTGAGAGTGTACACATCTGTTACTCATTGTGACATGAAACTAGGCTATTCCCAAGAAATAGAAAATCATTACATAGAAGGGCTTGGTAAACAATTTTATGAGGACATGATTGACATAATTCAGGCAACGGTACAACAGAATTTTGACACTGAGACTGATACGCTCTATGATGAAATCCTTCAGCATTCGTCATTGTGTAAAACGTATGCCTCCTTCTATGAGTACAAATGCGAAGCTCTAAACATCGTGCGTAAATACATTCTTCCAAGTAAAACCGGGCACATCAACCCTCTTATTATATATGGCGGACCATGCACTGGGAAGACCCTTCTACTCGCTGAAGTAGCAAAGAAGGTAAAAGCCTATTCTTTTATGTGTATATTTGTAAAAACTTTTACTCTTGGGAAAAGATAAATGGATCAAATTGATTTCCATTTTCTCTGTTTACTTTCTGAATTATAATTAGTCTTTTTGGAATGGTTACTTCAGTGTTTCTCTTTTGCTGGTATAACGGTTATACTGAAAGAATAAGACTCATGGGGTGCAATTATAGAACAACTATATTTATTTTTTCTGTCATTGTTCAAACTCATGTTGTGGGGCTAGTTCCTATTCGGATGGAAACAAGGGCAGATCTCACAACTCTTCTCATCCGTCTCAGCAGAGACAAGCCATCCAGTCACTCTGGACACTAAATCAGTCTCAGTTCAGCAATTAAACATGTCCAGTCTAAGATGATAATTAAAGCTTCAGTCTACATTTCTCTCCCCCAGCTGAGGCCCACCATAAGCAAGGTATCTGCAGTGGGAAGTAGGGACATAGCCATCTTCTCCTTGCTTTCTCCACATAGCACTCCTTCCCCTCATTTCCTAAACCCAACCACATGACCGCTATATGGTTGTGACCCCTATAGGGTTGTAGTTTAGGGGATGTAGGAAAGGTAAGGTAGCCAGAAAGTTCTTACATGACCAGTATTGTTCTGAACCAGGCCCTGCACTCTCTGGTCTTGGCAGGTGTTTAAGGCAGGTGCCTCCTGTTTCTTCTGACGCCTTTTCCTAGTTTCCTGGAGGTCCTTCCCCTCCCACCTCCCCTGCCCTCGCTGAGCGTCTCTCACCTACAGTTCCCTAGACACAGGGAATGCACTTTTTTTCCAGCTGGTCGCTTCCTTGGCTGCTAGACATCCAGCAACACACTTCTAGTATCTTTCTGCCAAGATCCTCTCCACAGCCCAGCAAACTCCGTTAGGACATTGAAAAAACAGAACCAACAAAAGCCTTTGTCAGCTGACTCTTGCGGGTGGCCGACATCTGGGACGTGGGAAACACTCAGGTGTTTTTTTGCGCTAAGAAACTCCAGTTCCAATACAGCAGCTCTCCGTCACTCCTCCATCAGAGCAGCTAACCAGCCTCAGTCAGTCTCCGTATTTCTCAGATGTCATCAGACACAGATGACCCTGTCTCCCAAGCTCTTACAGGACACCCTGTAAATGGTCCATTGTAGACCTTTCCCTAGGCTAGAAGTGAGGGGTGGACATCTCTCAGCCCTCCCCTTTGGGAGTGGGGTGGTGATAGACACAACCCACAGCACCCTAATCTCCAACTTTTTTCTCAGCCTCTTGACTCTCTTTTTTAGGCTGGAAGTGAATAGTCCACTAAAGGTAGCAAAACTGGTTTACACAACTCCCTTGCAAGTCCTGCATGATGGCCTGGAACCTGACTCTGGAATGTGGTATCTATTGTCTTGGCACCTCAGTCTAAACTGGACTACACTAGTTCCATTTTTAACCTCATGTTACACTTGATATCAAAATCTGATGGTTTCTATTATCCTGGTGTTACTTCAGAATCTCTATATTGTTCTTCCTGTGGTTACTCTCTCAAGAACAGAGCTTTCTTTAACTTCATGTACATTCTTGTAATCTATCCTGTGCTACACGGCCTCAAGTAGGTCATCTTGAGGATAAGAACAGGGACAATTGTGTTGCACCTTATGTGGGGATTAGGTTCCAAAGTAAGCTCACACAAACTTACTCCAAAAGTCCATGGGAAGGCCAGTTTACCATTTCTTAATATGCCATGCCCAGCTGCTGGCTTTTCTTCTATTGTTAGAAGATATAGCTCTTTCTTTACACCAGATGAAGCGGCAGGCTTACATTTAGGGGCCATGTTGTGTCAAAATAAACGTATGTGTGTGTGTCTTTGAACACTAATTTGTATGTGAATCTTCAAATTTTAGAATTATTCCAAGTGAGCAACATACTAACACAATGAGAGGCACATGGGAACTGAAATCAAATGAGAAAACATTCATGTATGCCATTTCACATTCTCTGTAGGGCTTTTTCCCTTGTGGAGGAGGGAAGGGTGAAGGTGGTTGGAGGGGCAAGTATTGTTGAATTTGACTAAGTTAAATGTGCACTGATGCATCTCCACATGCGCTAGCTCAGGAGGTAAAGAATCACGTGGGCTGGGCTGATATGCTCGTCTAGATAAGCAATCCCAGTGGGGCAGAGTGGGGTGACAGTCGGGTTGATCAACTTGAGAAATGGCTTTCTAAGCTCTCACTCTTCTGGATATTTTGTCCAACCACCACGGTGCGTCTACTCACAGGCCAGGACTCTGGTCCCCCAGGAGCCTCGCCTGTTTCTAGGTCCCCTGCCTGTGCCCCACTTGTCTCTGTCCTGGGGAGCATCTGCCCCACCAACAACAACCTGTGCTCTCTTGTAACCTCATGTCCCTCTTGAGGATGCAGACAGACATCTTGTGTGTACCCAACATTTCCACGGACAGGAGCTCATGATCTGAGGGCTACTCTCTACAGATATCACATGTTCAGCAATACATGATTGGGAGGAGAGAGGACGATACCTATGATCATCCTAAGCAGTCTGTGTAGGGACAAACAGTTGTGCTCTGTTTCTGATGTGCCACCAAAGGACAGTGGTAGGATGGCAGAATTAGCTTCCTCCAAGACAGCTTCAAAGGTTGGGGCTAAACAACATAAATTGCTTATTTTCCTTAATAGCTCATTCTGAAACTGACAGCCATAAATCTTTCCTCGACTATTCAAACCTTAACCTGAACTCTCTCTTGAAGAACCAAGTTTCATAAACTTACTTCCTAATGTATATTTATGTCTTTTTCTAAGGAGTATCCTTGGTGAATTCCAAGGATTACTGAAAGACATTATCTCCCTAAACATACACTTTGGAGCGTTTTGTACCGTGATCATCTCTCTTCTTGTCCTTGCCTTTCCAGACAGAAAAATACTAAACTTAGCAGCCCCCTCATATATGTTATCTCTTTAACTCCACAATTAAAAAAAGAGAGAGCGAGCACTAGAATGAAAGTCAGATATGACTTCTACTCCAACTTCATTTCTTGGTAACCATTTAACTCTGAGCAAGTCATTTATGCAGCCTGGGCCTTGGTTTGTTTTTTTGGTTAAATGATATTGTAATCCCATGTGCCCTGCAGAGAGATAACGTGCAGACTGATGACTGCCTGTTTGTATATAGTAAACTGTCTACTATAAAGCACAAAATTTGACAAAACCCTTTTAACTAGCATTATATAGATTTTTATGACAATGATACATAATCATAAAGATGACCCTATAGCACCCCAATATAGTAAAATGTCTCTGAATCATGGAAGATTACATTCAGTACCATTTTTGTATAGTATTTTTTATTGCATTCTAATTAACTGGAAATTTGGTCAGCCATATATGGCCTTCATGGGATCTCAATCAATGAAATTATTCAACTCAATATAATGAGTAAATGATTACTTAATCTAGTCTTTAAATGAATACTAAGCACCTACTATGTGTCAACAACCAGGCCAGGAAATGGGGATTCAGCGATGAAAAACTAACCATACCAGATACACTTTGTAACTTTTAGACTATAAACCAAATGTTGCTTTGGGATTGAAAAGTATTATTATCATTATTTTATTACTTTTAGTAGAGTGATCCTGAGGGTCTTACCTAGGGATTTTAGTGCATGAGCTTTGTGTCAGTTCTTTGACCTTCTCAGAGGGCTTTTCCATTTCCTAGTTCGAGGCTACTTCCTGCTTGGTCAGGGTTACCAGAAGTCTGACCTCTGGAGAGAAGTGTTGTTATCTATGACCATGTGAATAAATATTACCATTCTAAATGCCACCTTTATGTTTTAGGCTTATGGCTGGCTACATGAAGACACAGGACCAGAATCTGACCCAGTAGTAGTTGTGAGATTTCTAGGAAGCACAGACATGAGTACTGACCTTAAGACTCTCCTTCTCAGTGTTTGTGAACAATTGGCAATTAATTACCGGTGTCTGGTTCAAAGCTACCCTAAGAAGATCCACGACCTCCGTGACTTATTTATAAACCTTTTGAATGAGTCTTCATTGCAGAGACCTCTAGTAATAATATTCGACGCCCTAGAGCAGCTCTCAGAGAGTGACGAGGCCAGGAAGCTTTGGTGGCTCCCAGCTCACCTTCCGCGCTTCGTACGGATAGTCCTCTCCACACTGCCCAACAAACATGGGATCCTGCAGAAACTAAGGTGCCTTATCCACGAAGAAGACAACTACATTGAGCTGATTCCCCGGGACAGGAAGATGTGCAGCCAGGTCCTCAAACACCAGCTGCTGCGGGTCAAAAGGAAGGTCACATCAGGCCAGCAGATTTATGTGAACAACGCGTTCTCCAAGTGCACACTGCCCATGTTTGTGAACCTGACCTTCAGGGAAGTGAGACACTGGAGATCTCACAAAGATGTCGATGAGTCCTCGCTCTGTGTCACCGTTCATGAAAGTATAGAGCAGCTATTCTGGTCCTTGGAGAAGAAGTGTGGTCAGAAACTAGTCTCCAGGGCTCTTGGTTACATCACCATGGCCAAAATGGGTTTGAGTGAAATGGAACTGGAGGACGTGTTGGCCCTAGACAACAGTGTTATGAATGAGCTCAGTGAGAATGCCAGGCCAAGCAATCCCCTGAGAGTACCTTATGTGTACATCGCAAGGCTCAAGGAGGGTCTCAGCGGATACTTAATAGAAAGACACGTGAAGAATGTCACTCTTCTGGTCTGGGCCAACAGACACCTGCAGCTCATAGCCCATAAGCTGTATCTGCAGGACAACAGTGACCTGCGGGAAATGCACACCATCCTCGCAGATTATTTCCTGGGGGTCTGGTCAGGGGGCAGGAGGAAAGCTTTCTGCCTTGAAGACCCCTACTTGAATGACTGTCTTGACTTGGAGAGCAGAAGTCTGCTTGAGGAAGAAAAGCACTTCATGGAACAGGCTTCCTTTGACAGGCAGGCCCCAGACCAGCCGTGGGTTTTCCAGTGTAATCCACTGGAACCTGACATCTTTTTCGTCAATCATCGGAAGATGTCTGAGCTCTTGCACCACCTGACGAGGTGTGGTAAAACCGATGACTTGCTTTATGGCATCATCATGAACTTCAGCTGGCTTTACACCATGATCAAAATCGGCCAGTTCGATAAAGTGCTTTCAGACATCGAGCTGGCTTACAACTGCTCGCAAGAGAAGGAGCTGAAGTTCCTGGCAAGCACCCTCCGAGGCATCAAAAACAAGATCATTGCATTTCCTGGCTCCCTTTCAGCAGAGCTCCAGCAAAGACTTCTGCCTGTTGTAAGTTCCCTGCCCAAACTTAGACACCTTCTTTTGGAGTGTGACAAAGACGGGCCCAAATATTGCTCCATTGTGCCATTACATTCATCCATGGACGTGACATATAGCCCGGAGCGTCTTCCCTTGTCATCTAGTCACCTGCATGTCACCGAGATTCTGCCTACCAGTAACCCCAGTACTGTCCTGACAGCTTTAGAAAATGGGTCCATCAGCACGTGGGATGTGGAAACTCGTCAGCTACTCAGGCAAATCACAACAGCCCAGTCCGTCATCCTGGGCATGAAGCTCACCAGTGACGAAAAGTATCTTGTGGTGGCTACGACAAATAACACCTTGTTGATTTATGACAATGTCAATTCTTGTCTCCTGTCTGAGGTGGAAATCAAAGGGACCAAGCATGGAAGCAGCTCCACCTACATCAATGGATTTACAGTCTCCGTCAGCCACACCCTTGCATGGCTTGAAGCCAGCAAAGATGTCACTGTCATCGATCTGCTCTACGGATGGCCCTTGTACCAGTTCCACTGCTGGTATGAAGTGACCTGTGTCCAGTGCTCCCTGGATGGCGTCTATGCTTTCTGTGGACAGTACCTGAATACTACCACCATATTTCATTTAGGGAGTGGAGAAAAGTTATGTACGGTGACATCTGAATTTTCAGGTGGGTTTGTGAAGTTTCTTCTTATCTTGGACACAGCCCAAGAAATGGTAATGGTAGATAGTGAGGGAAGCCTTTCTGTTTGGAATACTGAGGACATTACCAACCCCCAGCTAACTGATGACTTTGACTGCCGCAGAGAAGACAGCGAGGTGGTCAGCATTGAACTTTCAGAGGACCAAAGTGCCATTCTGATCTGTAAAGCCCTCAGCATTGAGCTCTTAGATACTGGCATGTGGAAGGTGGCTGAAAAGTTCAGAGCTAAGCACAACGAACGCTTTATATCTGCCGTGCTGTCCAAAAATGGAGACTGCATCATCGCAACCATGGAAAATACCTCAGCCGTGTTTTTTTGGAGGCGGGACACAGGACAATGTATGGCGAGCTTACAGGAAATCTCAGGTACCATAGTTAAGCTGGTGAAATCTAGTCACCACAACATGCTGCTATCTTTATCAACCAGTGGTGTTCTTTCTATTTGGGACATAGATATAATCACAGCTATGTCCAACATAGATAAGACTGGAAAACCCATCCAGAGTCTGATGTTACCTGCCAGAGGGGAAATCATTTACTCCCTTGATGGCTCTGATTGTGTTCATAAGTGGAACTTCAGCAGTGGGTTCATTGAAGCAGTATTTAAGCATGAAGGAATAGTTGAACACTGCGTGTTGACATCCTCTGGGGACATAATGGTGACATCAGATGACAAAAGCAGCCAGTATGTCTGGCACACCAGCAGTGGTGAAAACCTCTTCCGAATTAATGGGCAGAGAATATCTCAGCTGCTAATTACCCACAATGACCAGTTTGTGGTCTCTCTCTGTGAAGAGAATGCCTCCAGGGTTTGGAGGCTGGCCACAGGCCACAGGGTCTGCAACATTCTGACCACTTTGCAGAACGCCTTTATAACCTCTGCAAATACCTTCGTGGTGGGAATGACCAAAAGCAAAGTGCTGGCAGTCAGTCTTTGGACTGGAAGTATCACCAAGAAATTTTGCTGTGAAGATGGCACCACCATTGTGAGTTTTAAATTGATCCCCGACTGTCCTGACATCATTGTATTTATCACATCTGCCGAGACGGTGAATATTTGGAGTCTGACAGATGAAGTGATCTGTCGCCGTGTGCAACTTCCAAACAACTTCTTGAAAAATCTAGAGGATTTTGAAATTTCTCCCAATGGAAAGCTAGGCATTATATCCAGGGGAGATGAAAATATCAACGTGCTGGATTTACACAGCGGTAAATTACGGGTGGTTCACGCCTCTGGGGTCATCTGGCGGCAGAGGTTGTCTCGAGATGGTCGCTACCTGGTGTACATCTGTTTCCGAAACGGGGAGGAAGAGGATGAAAATGGTGTGATATCCAGGTTAATCGTAATGAGACTGGCCGACGGCAAAAATATCGGTGCTTGTTCCCTTTACAAAACCCCAACTTTTCTTGCCCTCTCACAGAGGCACGTGAACATCGTTGTGGGTTTTGATGATGGGAGCATAGGGATATACACGGTCGTGGACCGCGTAGATGCTGCACTGAAAATTAAAATTGCCACTTCAAATAGCAGACAAATTTTCAACAATGCAGCACAGACATCCAGGCCAAAGTGTAATCGTTATTGTTTTAAAGTGTCTGTGGATTGCTTATGGAGAGAGTCCACTGAGGTCTTTGCAAGAGACAGTCCCATCACGGTGAGTGACTCCAATGAACCCAGTGAGGCCACGCCCTCCAAGAAACACAATTCTTGCTATGACCGGGTGTGCTCTGCCCTGGAATCCAGGGGCCACAGCTATGCCCCTGACAACTGACACAGTGTTTTTCCTGCTCAGCAGAAATACATGGTACATGTACAAAAGAAAAACAAAGTATCTTCTGTATCCCAAATGAATAAGCTACTCGTTTCTTAAAAGACAGGAAAGATGGGGGAGTTCCAGTGTTAATTATTAACACGATCGTGAAATGTATAGAAGTGAGATTAGTTTTGAGCTTGGTCTTTTTGTCAAAGTTTATCTGGGAATGAAGTCTTGACAGAACTTCTAGAAATTGTATTTAAATGGCTGCATCACCTGGAAGTTAGACGATAGTGGTAAAATTAGCTGTGTGGGACGAAGCAACATAACATTCGATTGGTTCAGATGACAGAGGCTAGAGACCATTTGGACTGGAATTGGTTCTGTAGAACTCGGTTGAAATCGTGAACACAATGAGTTGACTTCAGATGATTGTGCGGCCATGAGTAAACACAGCCTTAATCTCTCCTTACACTTTATAATCCTGACAACTGTGTAAACCCAGTCTGCAGATGGAAGGTCCAAAGGTGCAAACTAATGTAACAAAAATGCCCAGATGTGCTCCCAGTTTCCCAAGAGAAAGGACGTGAAATGTGAGGCCACAGGCTGGGCTGGGACAAGAACTGACTACCACTATCATAGGGCTACTGAACACGCAGAGTCAGTCTTCATTAAAATACAGTTTCAACAGTTGCATGCAAGGGTTTCTGTATAACGGAATATGTGATTTTTAAACTATTTCCTGGGCTGGAAAAGAACACATTTAACAAGAAACCACAATCTTTTCATGTCTTTTTTGAAATGCCTATTTGAGCTGGGTGTAAAGAAGAATTACAGAAAGGGCATTACAAATTTGGTCAAAACACCTGTTCATTTCTATCATTGTACTAACAGAAGTCTGTGCTCTTCAGTCAGTTGTATGGAAGCATAAATTATTTCCTAAATCCCTGCAGTAAATCTTAATAGAAAGAAAGCTTTCTCGATATGCCATCTATGAAATACTGATATTTGCCTTACTCTCATTCTTCCTCTTTCCTGTGTAAAAGCAGATAGATGACCAAATACTCTGGGACAAACTGAAGATGCCTGTCTTTGTGCTAAAATATTCCATAAATCTTAAGGGTGTCCAAAGGTTCTTTATTGTCCCTGTTTGTAATCACTTTCTTACTTCTACACACTGTATGTATGTTTCTTTTCTGCTTCAGGACTCTTCGGAGCCCTTTGAGGTCTTAACCATTTCAAAGCAGAAGCTGTGAAATGGTATTAAATATTTTCTAAAAACTACTTTACCTATTTAAAAGAAAATATTACATCCCAAAAGGGGAAAGTGATTTTCTTCCTTCCATATCCTCCACATGACACGTCCTTGGATGACTTTCCCAAGGGTGTCCTAGTGGTGGTCTGGTTTGGTTGTATTTGAAACTGGCAGTAGTGACTCTAGTAGACAGGATAATGAACAAGGACTCACTTGCTTTCAGATCTGCCATGAACTCACTGCATATCTGTTAACAGATCTTGAACCTCTCCGCTGTATTGTTTTTGAAAACTGCAAAATAAAGGTGGTGATAGCTTGTGCTATAGCCATATAGGGATGTTGGGGGGCAGTGTGAGAAAAAAGACAGTGACATCTTCACTGTTGATGCTAATGGGAGAAACAAAGTGATCTAATCCATAGAGAATCCAAGTCAATTGTATTTCACTTTGGAAAACAATTTGACACATAAGCATTCAAAGATGTGATTCAGATGTAAACATTCCGCTCCACGGTAAAAGACTTGTTTTCAGTATGTTCCTCCTGGTCTAGCTCCCAGCCAGGGAGGTGGTAGCCCAGAGAAGGCCCAGCCCTCATACAGATCATCTGGAGTTGATTATATGAGTCAATACTTTTTTAGCTCTTCAGAGGCAACACATTCTTATTCCTGTCATTGTTAGTTGGACCTCCATGCCACACATTTCTATGAATTAAATGCCTAGATGGATTAAATGTAGTGTGTGAATGTTCTGTGTAAAAGCCAATAGAGTTTAACAAGTGACTTGAATGATTTTTCCTAACTTGTTTGCAACTGATAGCTCATATTGAATGTTTTTATGTAAACTTTGTATTGTTGGGAAGAATTACCCAATCAGAGATTTATATTTTCATAAATGTTACATTTAGTTAAATTTTGTTACAGAGTTGTTACACTAGAAAATTATTGCAGTCTTCAAACAATGTACAGTCTTGTGTATGTATTGTTTGTATGAATAAAAGATAAACGACTTAGATTTGTGTGGTGTTTGTTTTTCTCCCCCAACTTTGGTAGGTGTAGTCAGAGATCTTCCGTAATAATAATAAGTGTTTGTGTTTACTGAGTGCTTACTGTACAGCAGGCACTAAATTCACAGCCTTGCATGTACTAAGCTGTGTAATCTCCACAACAGTCTTATGAGTAGGTACTGTTAGTATTCCAGATTTACAGATGAGGAAACCCAGAAACATTGGTCCAGGGAGAATAGCCGCACAGGATTTCAATGCACCTTCAACATCTTTTTTTGTTAACTTTCTCAAAGCATGTAAAAATATAGCATTGTTAATCCAGTAGGCACTCACCCATAATGACCTACAAGGTATTTTCCAACTTGCAGATTAGAGTCCAGGCTAGGCTCTGCAGATCACTGGAGGTCTTCACACACTCCCAGGATTTTCAGGTATACCAAAATATTTGCTGTATTCATTCAACAAATGTTTATTTGGTCATACATTTTGCCAGGAATACAAAGGTACATGAAACAGCTCATACCTTCTAGGATTTACAGTTTTAACAGGCAGACAGGTAGGAAATAAGTTCTATGTGTAAGTGCAAAGACAGTGTGCTTCCCTCTGGGACAGGGGTGGAGGTGGGAAGGATGATAAACAAGGAGTCATCCTACTCATAAATTGCCTCCAGGTGAGAGAGCAGGACCAAAGGGAATCTTCTCATACCCACTTGTTTCCATTCCTTGCCTCTTGGATCTAAGAATCCCCCAACACACCAAAAAGTTTTTTTTAAACAGGACAGCAATGGAGAGCTTAAGTGATGGTAACTAGGAAATAATCAGGTGAAACCTTGTATCTAGTTCCACAAAACAATCATTCTCAGAGAAACTTAAAATCAAGGTGTTAACAAATACTCTGTTCTAGCTATGTCCAAGGCATTATGCTATGCCCTAGGATGATTTGAAAATTAGTCACCCACAACTCCTGCCCTCAGAATCCTACAATCTATAGGAGACTACTAAATTAGATGTAAGACCGACTGTGATAAAAAGTTGTTAATAAAAGTGAAAGCCAGTGCTGAGGATACACTGCAGAGGAGCAATTACCTTTAATTGAGAATCAAAAAGGATGGCCAAGAGGAGATGACAGGCAGCTGAGGCTTGAAGGATAAGTAGAATATCAGAAAGACATTTGGGGGCTGGCCCAGTGGCCTAGTGGTTAAGTTCCGCGAGCTCCACGTCAGCAGCCCGGGTTTGTGGGTTTGGTTCTGGGGCGCAGACCTAAACCACTCATCAGCCATGCTGTGGTGGTGACCCACATACAAAATAGAGGAAGAGGGCCGGCCCCGTGGCTTAGTGGTTGAGTGGGCGCGCTCCGCTGCTGGCGACCCGGGTTTGGATCCCGGGCTCGCACTGACGCGCTGCTTCTCCGGCCATGCTGAGGCCACGTCCCACATGCAGCGGCTGGAGGGATGTGCAGCTATGACACACAGCTATCTGCTGGGGCTTTGGGGGGAAAAAATTAAAAAAAATAAAAAAAAAAAATCTTCAAAATAGAGGAAGATTGGCCACAGATGTTAGCTCAGGGTGAATATTCCTCAACAACAACAACAAAAGACATTTCAGGTGAAGGAAGCTGTGTGGAGAAGGGAAGCATTTTGATGACTTCAAATGCTATGTTGGGATTTTACACTTTATTAGATAGTCAGTAGGAAATTGTGAAAAAGTTTTTGAGAAGGGGAATAGCGGGTTGGAATGGTATTTTAGAATGACTCAGGCAGTACTGCGTCAGATGGATTAGAGATGAAGAGACCAGATGCTGGGAGACCAGTAAAGAGACCATTGCAATAATTTGAGATAGAAAGTGTAAGAACTTGATCTGAGGACGTGACGGTGAGAATGGTAAGAGGGAGCAGTTCAAGAGTGATTTTAGGGCTTCCCGATGGAGGTGGGTGATGAGGGAGGGGAAAACACGTAACTCCAGCTCCACTTGAAATTGGGCAGAGAGTAGAGTGACAAATGTAAAATGAATGGTTAGGAGATGAAAGTGGGGGAAATAATAAAATAAAAAGCTGGACCTGGAGAGAGTTCAAAGCTTAAGACATCCATGCAGGCAACTGGAAATATGCTATCCATCTAATGGAGAAATCTGAGCTAAAGATAAAGAATCTAACCAGTTATCTCTTTCTCAGAAGTCTAAAATGCCTAATATGGTGCTTTTTTTGGTTATAATGTAAGACAATACCATAAATTTTTTAAAATTTTGTTTCTTTTCTTTAGAACTATATTGACAAATCTACTCAAACAAATTAGCTTTCCTATCTTCCATGACTCATCAGTTAGGAACAATTTATATGCCAATGAAAACACGAACACACCTAAACAACTAAGTGAATCATGGTGTTTCATTTCTATATGTATCAAGAAACCATATGTTTTCTTGCATATTTTTTACAAGGGGCCCCTCAGATCTTCCTTTGGCATGCCCTGTGATCTGCATGAAGTACACATTACATTTTGTGTAGACACATGTGAGGGTTTGGTTTCAGTGTATCAACATGATAAATTATATAACACTGGCAATTTGAGGTTACCAATAATACCACCTCTGGCTTGATGGAATCCCAGTCTTTAATAGATGAGGGTAACTTAACCAGCTGATTGAGTATATTAAGAGCAGTGGTTCGCAAACTGGAGTGTGTATCACTTGTTAAAACACAGATTCCTGGGGGGCTGGCCCCGTGGCATAGTGGTTAAGTTCGTGCACTCCACTCCTGCCACCTGGGGTTCACAGGTTCAGATCACAGCCCAGACATATGCAACACTCATCAAGCCATGCTATGGTGATATCCCACATACAAAAATAGAGGAGGATGGGCACAGATGTTAGCTCAGGGCCAATCTTCCTCACCAAAAAGCAAAACCCACATATTTCTTCACCCTCCCCATCCCCCACTATTTCTGAATCGATATATCTAGAGTGGGGCCCAAGAATTTGCATTATTACTAAATTCCCCCAGATGTTGCTAATTCTGCCAGTCTGGGAACCACACTTTAAAACTCAAGATAAACACCAAAGTCTTTTTGGTTAGAATAACCTAACTGATAAATGTGCCAATATCTTGTGGATATTACTAAAGCATGGGCTAGAAGTTTGACATGAGGGTTTTTGTTTTTGTGACAAAGGGTTTTTGTTTTTGTTTTCCACTGAGGAAGATTAGCCCTGAACTAACATCTATGCCAGTCTTCCTCTATTTTGTATGTGGGTCACTACCACAGCATGGCTGATGAGTGGTATAGGTCCACACCCAGAACCTGAACCAGCGAACCCGCCAACTCCAGCCAACCACGCAGAAGGCGCCAAACTTTAACCACTAGGCCAGTGCGCCGGCCCCTGTGACAAAGGGTTTTATCATAAAATTAGAGGGTCTTATCAGAAAAAGACATGAAACAGCATATAACTTCCCTCATAAATCATTTTAAAGCACGCAGCTAGGACACAACTGGGAAATTCAAA